AAGAAATATGGCAAGGCTGGGAATCAGGGTGGCCGGCTGGCTGGTTGGAAAGATGGAGAGGGAGGATGAGAGTGATGTGTGTGTGTGTGTGTGTGTGTGTGTGTGTGTGTGTGTGTGTGTAAGGTTGTACTGTAGGGATCTGGTGTCTGGCGTGAACGTGTGAACGTGTGAACGTGGGATGCGCGGATACACACATACTGCGTAGTGTGCAGGTTCCAAATTGGGGTTCGTTCATGTCGGGCCTCAGCGCTAATCTCGCCAATCAGCAGCGCGAGTGGTGTGCATGGCGTCGGCAGTCTCTAGTGATACCACGTTCTCCCCCTCTTGGCTTGGTTTGCTGCTTACTTTAGGTGCGCCGTGTTACACACGATAGATAGCTTGCTATGAAGGTTGGTTACAGTGGGCGTTCTTTTCTTGGGCGCGTCTACTCGTTGTCGATTGGGGGCCGAGGATGTGAATAGACACATGAGGTCTCAGCACGGTTACGTTGAATAGTGTGACTGACAACCTATAATACTAGGTAAGTGAGCAGTACCCAGTGGGGAGGTACACGGGGTGCGTGAAAGTGCAAGGTACTCCCGTGAGCAGGCTGCGACTCAGTGTGACGGTAGTACGGGTGGCTTGCGTTTACCTCGTGCCTAGCGAATGATACGATGACCGCGTTTGGCGTTTGGTGTGATTTGAGAAGGAAGTTTACAATCTTGGATCGGGGCTGGGGGAGATCGGCGGTGCGGGCGGGATTGGGGGCCAAGATGGGCCGCGGGCAGAGAGGCCCGTTGGTAGCCTTACGAGGCGGAGGTTGTGCCGTGAATACATGAAACCAGGCAATGGAGTTAGTGAGTGAGTGAGTGAGTGAGTGGGTGAGTGGCTCTTCGTGTGAGATGAAGTTGTTAGATGACTTTGTGAGATGAGATTCAAGTGAGGTGTCAGGTGAGAGGCAGGAATGACAGGTAGGTGCCTATCCGTCTGTCTGAGATGACGGACGGCTGACGATCGGAATGGGACGTGTAAAGGATGCCGCTCTTCCCGCTGTAGAGCCAGTAGGAATCCGGATCAAAGTGCTCGAATCGTTGGTTCATCGCCCTTGCGTGTGTTTGATGTCTCTGACGCGCCCTTGCAACGGTGGTGGTTGCTCACATGAGGCTGAAGAGTTGCGGAGAGACAGTGGTCAACGCGCTATGGATCCCTTGATTCTTGCTCCCTGGGAGCGATGAAGAAGTGTCATCCTCAGGTGTTCAGCTGAATTTCCAGGAATTGTAGTCCAAGCCGGTCACGATACTGAGTTCTAGATGGTTATGAATCGTAAACACACGTTGAGCGATAATGTGGTTATCCTGGTGGTCCGTAACCTCTTTGAGGGGGTTAAAGTTGCAGTGAAGGTGCTCGTCCGGTGGCGTTTATTCTCCGGCCCAATTGGCTGTCTAGTACTAAATGTCCAACCAGACGGTAGGTACGAAAAGTTCCTGGCTCATCAAAAAAGTTGCACAGGCACAACGGCTCAGGGGGGGCACACTCCCTCCCCTTGGCATTGACTTGGGATTGTGATCGCGCCCCAAGCACAAACCTCGGGTTTGACTTGCTGGGCTGCAGGCAGATGTCCAACTTCAGGTGCAGGGCCTTCACGCTTCCTGACTCCATATTAAAACCATCTACGAAACAGAGAATCGACAACTTAGTTGTGGTCATGCAGAGGACTTTGAAGCAAGAGCCAATCTAATTTCTTCGAGCTTAGTATCAAAAACTTTCTGGATCTGGAAGCCTATGTTGGTCGCTGGCTAGACGATCGCAGCCTCTTGGGGTGGGTTGAAATTGCAGCGAACACGATCGCAGTGCACGTCGCCTCTCAAGACAACTTGGTTTAACTCGCAGATGGGTTAGAAAACTGCCACGGAATGACGATTGGTTGGCGTCCAGACTTGGCAGAGAGCTAACGAGGCTCCAACCTCCGGGGCGGATGGAAACCTGAAGCCTTTGGCGGGGGGGGGGGATCAAAATCGCAGTGAACGGTTTACACGCCCCGGCTACATCGTCAATAAGCGAATCAGTGAACCAACCACGTACAGATTTTGAGACGCCTATCCGTACAGCTACATTGCTAAGCCAATTGGTGAACTAAGTCATCTGGAACCTCAGATGTGAGAAACCAAGAAGGCGGGGTTGGCGTCGATGGCCCATGACAAGACCCATTTGGACCCGTCAAAAGGAAACAGCCATGGGATTGAGACGAAGAGGGGCAACTGCAATTGAGGGGTAGATTTGCGAGGTCACTCACTGGTGAAGGAAGCGGAGGATGCGAGGATATTTCCCCTCCAGTCTCTTCTGGCCAGATCATCCGTGTCTGTCAATCTTCAGATGCTTCCTCCATACACACCTCTGTCGTGAGGGTTCGACAATTGCCGGAACTCTGTCATCCAAAGGAAGCAGTAAGAGGCATCGCGTCTTGCTCAGCCTCTGTCATACCTCAACCTCCGAAATTGGCCTGAATAAGCTGACCACTGCTTGACCTTGCACCACAGGAGGCCATTCAGTTCAGCCCAGTGGTGAACGGACAATCTCACTAGTACTACCCAATAGACGGCGAGATTGACAGGAAATAGCCCAGTTGGTCCCATCGGCAGCTCGTTATTTTTGGGGACTTGAGAGACACCTCCCTCAGCCCTCAGCAACCTGGTATCCAAACTGGAAGCCTGCGTCATTTCTCACAGCGAAGTCACAGCGAACCCTCCAACTTCCAACCTGCGCGTCTGCGAACCAGAGAATGCAACCCACCACACCTCCCGGGAACCCAGGCAAGGGTAGCCCATGAGAGGAACTTGGGAAGAGAGAACCAGTGTTGGTACGAGGTAGTGCTGTGTCGGCCCGTTCCAACCTGGGACCGTTCGTCGCGAGACTCCCGTCTTCCTCTTTTTTCCCTTGTTTTAGCGACCTGTCACTGGTCATTAATCACTACGAGTGGGAAAAGTCGCCTTTGCCCGGCCAGTCATCCTTCATCATCGTCCATCATCGTCCATCATCATCCATCAACCAGCTGCACACTCCCCCTCCCTCTGCCCACGTTTCCCTTGCTCTCCCGTTTCCCTTTTGAGGTCCCGATGAGGGCCTGAGGGCCAGAGGGCGTGCTCCGGTCAAAGTTGAGTCAAACAGGCTCTGGGCATGCTTGCTTGTTTGTCATACAAAACCCCGCCTGTACACAGTACAGCAGCCCGTATACTTAACTTCAGCACATTGTTCAATGTCTGGAATGGACTGATAGTGCGCGTGACAATGTGTCTAAGTACATCAATCACGATTCCCGTCCCTGCGGCTGTCGCGTTGCCTATTGCAATCTCACGCTATCGTAGCGGACGGGTGTGCTGACACATGGCTGCTCACTGCGTCTTTTTTCTCTTCCCTACCCGCCGGGATTCCACGGATAGCGTCTGCATGCAACCAACAAGGAGGGGGGGGTTCGAGACGACCAAACGACAACCGAGAGGGGAAAATGGGAGAGAGAGAGACCCTCACCCTAGGCTGCTAGTATGCGCGGGAGGGGCGGCTGTTGCGGAGACTTTGTCCCATCATCATCATTCCTACGAACACGGATACCTAGTGTACACTCTCTCTCGCCTGCGTCTCTCGGTCTTCAGCAACAGCTGTGATGTGATGCAGTAGCAGCAGCAGCAGCGGCCGCGTCTGTCTCCTGTTGCTGCACGGTTATGGATCCCCCTTTGGAGTTGACTCCATCCATTCTAGCCGCAGTCTGCGATGATGCCTTGCGCTGCCATGCCATGCGCTGCATAACGAAATGAGAGCCCCCTAAACCCTGTTTCTCGCCCGCGCACGGCAGTATTATCAATAGTTCGTCTCGAAAATACCACGGCCCAGAGAATCAACTATACTATAGTCACAGGCTTCTTCACTGGTCCCTCAGGCAGGGAACGACGCACGCCATGCCCGGCCGACCCGGCAAAGACCAGCTTCTTCTTTCCCCTCATCCTTCACTCCCATGTCCATGGCCCGTTAAACCCGGGCGACTCCGTTCCGCAACGTGCTCCCCACGCCGAAAACCGCCTCTGCATGTGCCTAAAACGACAGCGGGCCACATGGGAAAGCTAGACGAACCCAGCCAATGACGATACCTCTGACCCCGTGAAAGGGGACCCGTTGAAGAGGGGGGCGTGAAGAATCCAAATGTACCTCATCGACAGGGGCAAGATTGTACACTATTTCGTACCGCCGTGCCGCAGCCTACACGCCCCCGGCCTGCTTTACCCCGCGCCTGCATATCCGCCCTCGTCTGCTTGGTCCATAACCGCCGCGGGATCGTCAGCATACTTCGGCCAGCACAGTGCGTTGCGTTTGGGCCGATGTTCTACCCGGCGCAGGACGGCGGGTGAGGTTCAGCTTCGGGGGCCGAGGGATCGTAGTTGTTGTGGCCGTCTCAACGTGCAGAATCTTGCTGCGTTGGTTCGGGCCACGGCCACGGCCACGAGTGGTCCGGCCTGTGAATCGGCCCATCCCTTTCGGTGGTGAGTGCCGTACACCATGCGACGTTGATCGATGCAGCTGTTCCCTTTCCTTGCCGTTGCGGAGGTCTCACCCACGGCTGGGATACGGCCGGCCGGGATGAGGTTTATTAGGCGGCACGCACTGGATTGGACTACAATCTTTACACACCTTACAATGACTCAATGCTTCGAAAATAGTAGACATGATGGACGTGGCTGGGAAGGCATAGCTGAGTTGGGGAACGAGTCTCTCCTAGTGGTATCTCTAATCCTCTAGCTGAACGCCAGTCCTGACCGGCGGCGTTCTATATCCATGCTAGACAACGACGCCAGCTTCATCAGCTCGGTCCTCGACCATGGAAATCGCCCGGCCCCATCACCGGCGTCGATTTCTCCCAGCCACTGCCAGCACCACACAACGCGGACTCAAAACTCTGAGCAGTAATAGCTAGTAGGTATCCGTAAAACAACACCCCCATTGGCGAATCACCTCGAACCCGCCGCTTCCTCACTCTACTTCCACACGCTCGAACTCTCCGCCCCAGCCTTCTTCCCTTCCTGATACGTCTCACTCAACGCGTTATACAACCCCTTGACGCGCTCCATCTCCGCCCTCCAATGAGCCCTCTCCCCCTCGTCCGCGATCTCCTCCACCAACTCCCCCAAATTCCGCGCCGTGAAGAACGTGTTGGTCCGGTTATACAGCTCCCGCCTCCCCAGTGCTTCTTCACCTTCCCCCTCGGCAGGCACGCGAAAGACCTGCTGCAGGATATTGATATCGTGCGGAATCGCAAACAAATCGCGGCTGTCCTCATACGTGAAAAGGTAATACACCTCCCGGAAGCCTGACCAGGCGATACCTGACAGGCAGAGGGAGCAGGGCTCGTGGGTGGCGAAGAAGACGCAGTCGGTGCGCGGGGAGGGGCGGGTGGAGGGGTCGGGGAAGTCGCGCGTGAAGAAGGTTTGGATGCAGTTTATCTCGCCGTGGAGGAGGGGGGAGGTGCGTTCGTCGTTTGTGGAGACTGTGTAGGGGGATAAGGCGTCGTCGGAGGAGAGGATGGCGGCGCCAAAGAGTTTTGAGCCGGAGGAGACGCCGCGGGCTGTTAGGGGCACGATGCGGGTTTCTGTGAGGGAGAGGAGGGAGGCGAGGACGGTTTTGGGGTCGCGGGTTGGGAGGGGGGGTTCTGTGGCCATTGTATGTGGTGATGTTCTTGCTTGACCTCTGAGATACTTTGTGGTGGCAGAGTTGGATTGAGTGTTCGCGAGATGTGTGTAGATTGCCAATTGTTGATCGTCGAAAGTTGTTGGTGTTGACATGGAACTGGGATGGACCCGCGATTTTATCAACCCCGCGACGCTTATCGCAACCCGCCAGATGCTATCCGTACGCGCACGTCTAGATGCAAGGTAAGGTAGTCCAAGTACTTAACGCGTGTGAGTGGGCGCCGACCTCCTACCATCGGAGGCGTCCGTAGCGCGGGATGGCGGGATGGGGGTTCTACTGTTTCCGGTCGCGGCGGGCTTGGGGGCGGCGACCTCCGATATCTGCGGTGTTTATAGGGTCGGAGGTGGGAGATGTTCCGAGCGCTAAGACGTGAGTACGTTTCTTTTCAGCTGGGATTCAAGAGCTGAGATTTGCGTACGCGGCGTGAGTTGAGGATGGCATGGAAGCAACGCATCTGCAATTAGTGAGAATGTGCTGGGTTCCGGTCGGGAAGCCTAAAGGGTGAAACCCGGAAGATGGGGTCCACTTATCGCCGGTCTCCGACCGGAGGCCGCGGAGAGATGATGGACCTATGCTGAATTTCCTCGAGCAGGCCAATATAAAATCAACACTCTTGGGCCTGGGGAATAGGATTCTCGACCGAAGACAGTGCTGATATGGTAAGCCTGTGTTCGCATCGATAGCGTCCTGGATTTTCTACAGATCGGGTTGAGTAAAAGACTCTAGACTCGATGCGAATGTCACGCTGCATCTCAGACTATTGGAAACCGCGCGCTAGCCGTCTATACTCACCGTCTCACTTGACGTATTTCGCATGGAATATTCCAGAGAGAGTCACGGGGTTTGGTGGATTGACGACATCAAGCTATTACCCAGAAGTTCTTGAGATGATGGAGCCTCGACGGGCGGCCCAGTGACGTCGTTGGGGGCAAACCTGTCGGATACAGAAGCTACGACGCGTCCAGTGGGTACCCGTCTTGCTAGAGCTAGAGCACCCAGTTGGTAAACAAGTTGTTCCTGAGGCTCGCGGTGGCTTTCAAAGGAAAGCCCTCAGCTGTCCTGTCACCTGGAGAAGATTCTGGTTCTAAACCTGATTTCCAAGTCCACAGCATGGGAAGCTTGGATTTCTGTTCATCGGGCTCGCGACAAAGCTACGTTGTACGAGAGAGGAGAAGGAAGAATGCTGTGCTGACTTTGATGGTAATACTAACCATCTTGTTCGAGCTCAACGGTGACACCTGGGTCGAGATTGAGGCTTGACTTGCATACGTATGGATACTGAACACCACAATGTCGATCCGGACTGGATGCCTCTCGTGACCCTCGATACGTACGTTAGAACAACTGATCGCCGATACTATAAGTGAATGGTCTTCATTCTTTGACCTTGTGATTGAGGGAGTTTAGCGTGAGACATAGTATGGAAGGAAAAGAGAAAGATGAGTTGGAACAAATGTTTCACTGAATCTCAAGCCTTTTGAATTCAGGATGAGGACGTTGTCGTGCTGTTTAAATATCAGCCTCAGCCCGATATCATAAGTCGCTTCAGCTGATAGATAATCTATCGCAGCATACCTGCCGGCCACTCGAAACTAGAACTGGCTGGTGAGCAAAGAGCCTTACACTGAGCTCATGATGGCTTTATAGGCAGATCCTCCCAACTGGGTAAGCGTATCTCTGCCTGGAGGCTCCTACTTCGTGGGCTGAGTGATTTTCGGCATTGATCGGATCCAACAGAGTATCGAAACACTTCATACGTGGTAGTTAATTGGCGACATTTGCCTCCAGCCCTCAACATCTTGCCAGAAGCACTTTGCCGCAACTTGTATACCTTTCTCGCGTCGTCGCCAGAAAGACAAACTTAGTACGCAGGCACCAGCCATCAAAGTCAACTGACACTGATAACAAGGCGTCCAATTCAACCTATCTAGTCCGGAGCTCTCTTCCAGGTAGTCGAGGGGATCCTAGATGGACTGGAAATTTCTCGAGTTGCGGGTGTCAGCTGCTGTCTTAGTTGAGCTGGTGTTGTTGATTGTATAGCAGACTTTTCACGACGCGTCATCCACGCCTAGCGGCCTCAATCTTCCCAAAAGATTAAAACACATAATTTCCATCAAGAATTTGAATACATATTGAATGAAATCTTGCAAAGTTATGGACCAGCAATCCCATCAGACTCGGAAGCGGAAGGAGGTGCTCGGTGGGAAGCCAACGACCCACTTTACTCACGATGAGAGAGCTCTTACTGGTCAAAGTCGAATGACTAAGCATCTTCTCAGTTTTTGTCCCTCACCCGCGAGCTCATTCACGTCGCCGTCTCATCGATACCTTATGACACTCTCGATCTCGAAGGAGTCTGTAGAAGATCAGACTCAATCTCCACACCAACGGCCCAAATGCATTACATAAGGCTCCTCCGAGCACCAACGTTCACACGCGAAGAGAACAAAAAACACCCTTGGTCCCTCAACGTCGTCTTCACAATCACAACCGACCTCGGCGACTCCTTCCTCGCACCAGAAGACAATGACCCCGTCAAGATCAAAGTCTCCGCCGGATGGGAGCAACAGAAACAGAAACAGAAACCACAACAGAATGAGGAATCATCAAAGAGGCAGAAGGGCGAATCTATGATGTTGGCCGCTGAAAAGGTCCTGCGCTGGACCCCCAGCATGCGCGTCCTCAAAGCCGACATCCCAGCCCAACACCTCCCCGGGCGGGGACCCCTCCCCAACACCAACAATCTCGGTCCGCTGAGGGTACGCATACGCGCCGAGGGAGACAAGTCAGCCGATACGGCGACGAGCGTCAGCTTCGCGGGGTTCGAGGGCGAGTGCGGCAAGATCCTGCCCCTCTGGGCAGATGTGCAGACGCCAGGCACCGAGGCACCGACGACATGCGTCCGGAGACTTTCCCACGGAGATCGGCCCTTGGAGCCGGTATTTGAGATTGAGGAGGATATCGGGGAGAGCATTGCACGGCATATCTGGGATGCCGGGTTGATGGCCGTGTCTGGGCTGTGGCAGGTGAACACGCGGGAGGGCTTCGCTGCGGAGAAGCACCCGTGGCTCATGAAGACGTTTCACAACCTGCTCTTTGGAAACGATCCGGTGAATATTATCGAGCTGGGCTGCGGTGTTGGCATCTTGGGCAACGGGTTGGCGCAGCTCTTGTCGGATGCGGATCCCAAGGGCGAGGGTGCCATCCTCATGACGGATTTACCTGAAGCCGAGCACCGAGCTTGCGCAAATATCAAGAGGCTCGTGACAAATGGGGCGGCGAGTATTCATCCGCGGTATGAGAACCTCGACTGGGACGACGGTCGGAAGGGGGTGTTTGGGCCGCTGGTCAGGGCGAAGACGTGGGACGTTATCGCCATGAGCGATTGCACGTACAACGTGGACTCGCTGCCGTCTCTGGTGAATACCTGGACGGCGGTTCACGTGCATAACATCTCGAAAAGCGCGAATGAGTCTTTCCGGACGTGGGTGTACATTGCGTGGAAGAAGCGTCATCCGGACGAGAATGAGTTCTGGAACCAGGTCGACAGCCAGGGGTGGGCTCTACACGAAGAAGATGTCGTTGATCTGCCGGTGCTCGGTGGCGAGACGGAGAGGATCTTTACGTATCTCTTCAGCATGAAGTCTACAAAATTCGTGCTGGACGAGGAGAAAGGAGTCTGGAAGTGCTCATAGTCACCAGCATCGGACTACCTCGAGAAAGGTTTCTTTCTCTACCGAAGCAAAAAGAGAACCCGTCTGACAATGACAAGAGGCCGTTGGGCGGTGAAGAAGGGATGCTCACGGCTTGTAGCAACCGTCGCGTTTGGGACGAGAGCGACCGGCGTGGTTGGTTATACGCTCGACACAGACATACAGACCAATGCTGTGCGGAGCTGCAGGCTCCCTCCACGTTCAATCGTAATCGCCCGGCCGCTCATCGACAAGTCTCAGTCCACTCAGAGACACTATATCGATGCAACTGGCTCCTCCACGCCCCGGAGATCCTTATATGGCGAAGAGGCACTGGCCTAGCCGGCGCAATCCGGCGACGGCCACAGTGAGCCTGGTGGGAGATGTGAACGGACGGCCTCTGCCTACGGGCATGAGTCTCCCATGAGTCGATACGCTGCTAGGACACTACTTCATTGCTGCGCCCATTCTTTCCCTGGATGTAGCCCAGATTGGGATGCTGCCTGGGGAGGGAAACCAAGAGTATTGATACCCGAAGATGGCTGGGAGGATTGAATCGACTGCTGACGATGGCTTCGGGGCGCAGCAGGCCTGCAACTGAAATGCTATCCCACACACGCGGGACGGAACGATGAGGGGAACTAGGCTTGCGATATACCAACGCAGCTATGCAGTTGCAATGAGCCGTACATCGAGAGGCCGTTGAGCCAATGCATCGACGTCATACCACTCACTCTATTCTTCTCGCGTCCGGATCCATATCCGCTTCGAGTCACATGAAATTAATGGATGCGTCGGCCGCCATCCATTATCCGTCCACACTAGCTGCCCTTCCAAGGTCCAAAATCGATCGAACAAGCTACCCAGCGCTCAGAGAAAGACATCAAAAGCAATCAACGGCCTCAAAAAGCAAAAGAATGGACGATCTGGGAATCGAACCCAGGACCTACCGCATGCTAAGCGGTCATTATACCACTAAACCAATCGCCCATGGTATGATCTAGCCCGGACTTGAACCGGAGACCTTCAGTGTGGCAG